CTGAAACCGCTTTCCACTTATCCAGGGTCGGGAATCACACTCAAGTTGCTGGGTTCACAGCGAAGTGTGCGATACACTGGGCTACTGCTTCCCACGAGTGCACTCGTGCACATGTGATAAAGCCAAAGACCCCACAAGTAGCCTCTACAGATTGTTGGGGCAATTGTTGTTTGCGAGCACCTATTAAGGCTGGCACAGAACTCGAGGGGGTGGAGGGTCCAGCACCATCCCCGGCTGCCTTTGTCTCCCTCGTGGCGAGTCAACCTAGGGGAGTCCCAGGACCGGTTCAGATGAACGTCATCGGTGGTGTCAGTGGCCATGAGTGGGAATCGAACTGAGTTCGCCGGCTCGTAGCACAGCGCGCCAACCACTAAGCTACCGCTCCGCACTTGTGAAGTCACGTTTGCGCACACAACAACAACCGCCATTCGCCACTAAGTGGCGGTGACGTCACCACGACGCTTGTGCCAGGCCATGTGCACCCTGAGGCCACGTGAAATGTCGAACGCCCGCTGGCAGGAGATCACGGGGCAGACCCAGGTGCCACGGGTCGACTGACTGAGATGACTGGCTGATGCACCACCTGTGCCCCCTACTGTGCCAACCTGCTGTGCTTTAGCCACCCGGCGCTCCGCTCGTTGTTGTGAGGGTCGCTCCTCCGCCCTCCGTTGTTGTTGGAGGGCGACTGCCTCCAACTGCCCAGTAGCGTCCTTCATGAGCCTCCTCCACAGAGGCCGATCTTGACACCGCTGGTACCAGTCATCGGCAACTCCACTCAGCTCCACGTCCTCCTGTACCACATCACTCCATCTCTTCTCTAGCCCCTGCCGCGCCCGCTTAGCCCCCTCGATCTGGCCGAACAAAAGCTGTTTCGGCATGCGGTGGCTGGGCATGCGGGCTACATGACCCAGCCAATGCAGCCTTGCCTGCCGGAGGAGCTCACCGATGGGACCTTGCCCAGATCCTTCAAGGATTTGTGAGCTCCTCACACAATCCAGCCTGGTTAAACCCAGGATGGATCGTAAGCAGGCTAGCCTAAATGTTTCTAACCGGCGAAGATGTTCCATTAGGGGGGTCCACGTTTTGCAAGCGTAGAGAAGGGAGGGAATGACCGTGGCCGAGAAGACCTGAAGCTTAGTGCGGAGCGACAGACCAGATAGCTTCCACACAGCGTTACGCAACCGATGAAAAGATATTGCTGCTCGACTGATTCGGAGTGAGACCTCTGCTGTTAAACTGGAGCCGGTCATAAGCACACTGCCCAGGTATGGGAAACACACACACATGGTAACACACACACGCAAACACACACACATGGTAACACACACACACACACGCAAACACACACACATGGTGACGCAAGTGCATGGACATGCGCGCACGCACTCAGTCAACTTCATAGTGGAGTGAGTGACCCTGAGAACTCAATGGTGATTGAAACATTCCATACACAGGCTTTTAAATGCATCTTTGAGCCTTGTTGTGCCTGTACGATTGTTGCAGTGCATGTTCTGCATGTCTTTATGTTTTTTAACAGATTAATGTTACGTAATTGTTTAATAGTGCTATTGTATCCTGACCTATTATCTTTGCGCTTTGTAATATTATGTTTTGTGGATGATTTAGATTTTAATTATATGAACTCTCTTTTCCTCTCTGCATAACAACAAAAGTATCGGTCTTGCCTGGGTTTTGCGACAGCGTAGTGTTCTCTCTCGTGCGCCCGTGTTTCTCTCAGCGTTTCCCAGGTCTTGAATCAACGACATGCTTTTAGAGTATTTGGCTGCTCTAAATGTCCACGTGATAAACCACGTCGTTGAGCTATCATTTGTGGCCAGGTTGCTTCTGAAAAAAAGCTACACAACTCAGTGGGCCTTACCTGGTAAAATAAAAAAAGAGTTTAGTTTAGAAGGTTACATATGACTCGTGCGCTTATTCTCACAGCTCTCTCTCTGGCTTGTTGTTAAAATCTCCAGCAATGCCTACGGATCCCTGCATGGTTCGAGCAAAGCACCGTTAATGCGGGAGCAAGCCAGCTTGGGCCAAGGGGTGCAGCCACGTTTAGTACGAGTACCTCGGTGTCAAACCGCTGATTTCGTTTCACCGTCACCTCTGGATCCGGTCGCAAGTTCACATTCGAGCAAGAGAGCGAGCGTGAGATGGATGCTAGCGGAGAGAGGGGTAATTTTTTTTTCTTTTTAAAGTGGCAGGTCACCGCGCTGTGGGCGTGACGCCGCCTCGGTCCGTCATCGCCGATTATCGCCGGCTGCGCTAATTAAAGGCCTGCCCTCGCGGGGAGGCTTAATGGGGGCGCCGCGACGCTAACAACGCTAACGACCCCCGCCGTTAGAGTAGAGCCGCTTTCCAGCCGCCCCGCCAAAGCCAGCCTGCTGGGCTGCGATAACGAATTCTCCGTATACCCACTTCCACCGCCCCTCCAGGCCGGCCTCCCCAGCAGCACATCCCGTTTCTCCTGTCCACTTGTTTCACCACACCGCGCACCGTCTTCCATCTCTACCCCCACGCCACCACCATTGTCGCCGCCCCCCTGCAACCCGGCCCCTATCCAGCACGACTCCGGCACGTCCCCAGGATGTATCTGCCCTGTCCACTTTCTCAACAGCGCACCGTCTACCATCTCTCCCCCCACTGGCTCCCGTCACCAACCGCACACCATTCTCCACCCCGAACCGCTCGCTGGTCTCTCGCGCGTTCACGGCCACCACGACACACCAATGCGACACACCGACGCAAATCGCCAATTCCGCCCACATAACGCCTTCCCTCCAGAGTATTGCCCGCTGTCAAACTTCGTGCGCACGGATTTATCAACAGGGCCATCTTTTGATGTGGCTGTGTGTTCGCGAGTGCGTGCGCATGTGTCTGTGCGAATGTGTGCGTTTGCGAGTTTGTCTTTGTTTATGGCGAGCAATGATGCGGCCGTTAGCGCAGCACCATGCTATCCGTGACGCTGGTTCAATCTCTAGCCTTGCGCAACACCTGTGCCAATTGCAATGTTGACTGTGCCCTCTGCTAGGTTGACTCGAGCTAAAATGAGTGTCCATTTGTGAATAAAAGCTGGCTTAAATGTTGGTGTTTTGGCCGAATGTCACATAGAGGCAGCTAGCTGCTTAGTCTAACATTGTAACATTTTCATTACCACCCTGAAACGACAATAAAAAACATATTCTTCAGTCCTTTCACAATCCACTGCTTTCGACGCCGTGTCGAGTGTGGGGGCTATTTGACCATACTTCACCGTGCTGGCCCTTGCGGCTTGTTAAAGGAGAGTGCCCAGGACCAGTGCAGGCATCACTCGACACTCATATTTATAGCTGCGGCCAGCAATGTAATTGGGCTCGTCGCGCTGCTCCGTTAACCACTGCGCCAGCCCGCTACCCCTCTCCCCCGCTGTAACTGCGGGGAAATGGCCAGAACACAGGGCAGTTCGGGGATGGAGCGACGCGACGATTCATCGATTCAAATCGGTTTTTGCACACACGATACGTGCGAATATAATTTATCGGATAAGCTCGACTCGTATACGCCACGCTACATGTCAACGGGTTACGATGACCTCAGCAGCTACTTGGCGAAGTGCTGCAGTGAACCACAGCGTGAGTTAAAAAAAAAAACATAATTTAAACTGTTTTTTTTTCTTTCACGAAATCGCGATGACACAATCGCAATCATTTATAGAATTGCCGGGAAGGCGAGGCAGGGGGGGGGGTGATGCTTGCGAGGGTGAAGAAACACCAACAAGAGAGGCTGAAGCTGCTGCACACAACAACAACACAACAACAACACAACAACAACAAAAAATTAAGTTTATCTCTTTGCGCAAGAGGCAAATAAGTTTACAACAAAATAAAAACCCCTCGCCAACAAACGCGCTATCAGGAGCTAGCATCCAAGGGTGCAAACCAAATAAATAAATAACATAAATAAACAAGTCTGTTGATTGATGAGTGTTTTTTTTCTTTCTAAACCCACTGCTTTGTCAAGAGGAGTGCTCGCATGTTTTTTTTTCTCCTCTCGTCCACGTCCCGCAAAGTGCTTTTGGCGAATCGAGGCCAAGAAAAGCTTTCGGGGCCTGAAAAAAGAGGCATCTTTGTCGCATCTCTTGTGAAAGAGTTGCTGTTACCAGCGAAAAGGATCTTTTATTGCGAGCACGTGAGCCCCGGACAAAGATTCAAACGGCGGAACAACATGTCCCGCACTTCAAAAACAGCCGTGTTAGTTCCTTGGACATTTTTTGTTTAACCCCCCCAATGTTATCTCGGTCGTGTTATCGTCCTTTATAAAAAGCAATAGCGGGCCGATAATACAATCATGAACCCATCTGAAACCTCTGCTCCATTCGTATGATCGAAACAGCCGATGCCTTCCTAAATAATTAAATACGGCTACAATCATCGCTGGTGATTTTGATAACGTTTTGATGGCTCACACACACGCTGGGTCAAATTACATCGCTCAATCAAGCGCTCGTCATGAATAACAGTCGTTTCTCGACCCGCGATAATGTAATCTCTCGGACGTTTCCCTGTAACTTCATCATCATCATCATCATCGATGAATGCATAAATATCACTTTATATTTACAACGTGCCTCCTACAAGGTGAACGCAGCATCGGCCTGCAGGTGGGCATCAGTCTGCCAAGGGAGCGGGGGGGGGGGCGGCAGCGCAATGTTGTCACGTGCTTTCGAAAATTAAGTCATTTGAATTTGCGGGTAATTTATCAAATGTATCAAATTAGGATCGTGTGCTGCCAACACGGCATGGCCGACATTTTTTTTTCTGAACAACGCCGTGGGATCTCTCTCGCGTCCGCTTTGAAGCGGTATTAACCAGGGCGGCCGCTGGACTCGAATCGCGAACCCCGACCACGAGCGGCAAACGGGCTGCCGCTCGGCCGTGTCGCCGCTCCGATTTCGCCGTGAGCCTCACCCACGCGATCCCTCCCCGCGGCCCCCCGCTCCCGTCCTGTGCCTGCAGCTGTAAGCCCAAGCGATACCTGACGCACCTGCCCAACACCAGCATCATCATCCCCTTCCACAACGAGGGCTGGTCCTCGCTGCTGCGCACCGTGCACTCCGTCATCAGCCGCTCGCCCTCGGAGCTCATCGCGGAGATCATCCTCGTGGACGACTTCAGCGACAGAGGTGAGCCATCGTCGCTGTGCATGCCTCTCTCTCTCTGTGAGTTGTTCGGGCTGACACTCTGTCTGTCCATCTATAAGTCTGTCAGTCTGTCAGTCTGTCAGTTTGTTGGTCTATCAGTCCATCCGTCTATTTGTCTGTGTCGATGCCATCTCATCGGTCTATCTGTCTGTCCATCTGTCTATGAATATATCCATTTGTTTGTCGAAATGGCTGTCTGTCCATATCACCATCTGTTTTCCTGACCCTACAACCATTGTCTATTCGTATGTTTACGTGTCTGTTGAGCTTTGTGTCTGCCGCTGCACCATCTTTTTATCTGCCTTCCTCTTACCAACATGCATCACCTTCGATCATCCGTCTCTGCCCATCCGTTTGTAAATGTACACCACGCCGTGTGTCCGCCCGCCCGCCTGTCTTCCAGTTTGTGCGTCTAGCTAGCTCTCTGTCTGCCGGACCGTCTGTCCGTCTGTAACTTTACGCGACTGCCACCTCCCTTATCTGCCCGGCGCCCGACATTCGCCTCCGAATGCCACCAACCGGGCTCACTTAGTCTGCCAGCCCACGCTGTCGGCCAAATCCATCGCTCTCTCTCTCGTTCGTTCGTACGCGCACACGCCTCCCTCCCGTGTTTGCCGCAGCTCCGAATCCTCACGCCCCCGCCGTTTGATCCGGCCCCCGCGATGGCACGCGCGCCCGCGTGCACGAACGACGCTCGGCGCGCGACGGCGCCAGACTAATGAGTCGTGACCGAGGTTAGCGAAACAACGCATGCCAGGCTGGGACAGTGCAACGTGAAAGCTGGCAGCCTTTCAATGTAATAGGGGGAGAGGAAAAAAAGTTATTTTTAAATTATTTATGGCTGGTGATGTGCTTCATCTATCTCTATATGTCACTGTTAATTAGCAGCACTGGCACACGGTTCCTGGCTGGTGGCAACGTTTGTCGGTGATTTGGATAAGTGCCACAGCTACACTCTCTCCCCCTCTTACCTCCATTCCCCTCCACACACTCTCCCCTCACTCCCCTCTCATCTTCAGTCCACTCCCCTCCACTCTCTTAGCAACCCTCTCTCATCTTCAGACCACTCCCCTCCACGCACCCAGCAGCCAAGGCTTTCTGTCGAAGCCCTAGGTCGAACCTTTGCTCAGTGTGAGATCGCTTCTTGTCTACTGCTGCCTCCCCCCCACCCCACACAGACGTCCGTGCTGTCTACCCCCTGCTCAAAAGTCCAGGCTAGAGCCCCAACTTGCTTTCCTCTGCCTCTTCATACAATCAACTTGCTCACAGCGCCTTGAGATGGGGGCCGCATCGGCACGCCGATGTAGTCCCACGCCGCGTCGCTCGCAGGAGCCAGAGCGGCGCTCTCCGTCACGGCAGCTCTGCTGAACAATCGCTGCTTTTGTGCCTCTCATCAACTATTGAACCTCTTAAGTTGTTGTATTCGTCGTGTGCGAGCGCGGTGCGATGCAATCGATGTTTTAAGTGAGCGGACTGTTTTATTGCAATATTGTTGTTGGTGTTGCGGTTCGTGGTTCGCAATCTATAGAGTGCGTAAAAGATTGTGAGTTGTCGATCCGTTTCTCCGTCCGCCCGCCCGCCCGCCCGTCGGCTCTGATTGGCTGAAGTGAAGCCAGCATGAGTTTGAGCAGCGCGAGCACCGAGACTGATGAGAGGGGCGAGCTCCGTTAGGGGGTTCTTGGTGGGGGATTTCGGGAGAGATGGTAAAAGTGCAGCCCCTTCAATTGCTTGCCGCACGCTGCTCCTGTTCGGAAGGACCTCCGCCCGAGAGACGGAGAGAAGTATCTGGCCTACTCTTCCGCGTTGGACAGACGTCTCGGAAGAGGTGGAAGTACCCACGATTTACCAAAACCGCGTGCAACCTGCCGGTTCGACAACACTGCAATGTCCTCATTTATACTGCAACTGGGTGGACAGGGGCAGTGGAGGGGGTGACCTCTGGATTGCATATCCACTCTGTGGTAACCATCACACCGCGGCCACATTTAGGCACTGAAACGTGTTGAATATATGTTTGTTATCGTTTCGAAATTATCTAAAGCCAGTGGGACTTGAGGTTGGGCGTGGATAGCGATATGACCAGGAGGTGGCGGCAGTGCCGAGTGCCTCAGCCCTTCGTACCGTGGGGAGGTTTTCTCCGGGGTCTCTTGGCTGTCCTCCCGCACGCAGCCAAACTCTCATTCGTGGAAATTTTGCCAAACATCTCAATGCAGAGCCCCGCTGAAGAAAAAAAACCAGTCTTGCGTCTCACTGAGGCCTTTTTGTTAGGTTCAATAAATTAAATCTCATTAAAACGACATTCTGGCGGTGGGTGAGTGGCGCAGTTACTGTTTGTGGCCCGTTGCAGAGTTTGTTTATTGTGTATTTATTGTGGGGGGGGGAGCTCCTCGCTGTTTTTATTTTGTCGTTTATTTTCTCCCCCTCCCCCTCCGGTGGCCGGAGGACGAGGGCATCGCAGTCACTCGCCCACAGAGAGGCCTTTCGCCCTGAGGGGGGCCCTGCTCCCGCAGCGTTAGATGGGGTCGGGGGGGTGGAATTGTTCGAATTAATGCAAATGAATGCATAATTTGCATGAAATTAACTGAGCTCGAAAGATGGAAAGGGCAAAAAAGCCAGAAAGTAAGAAAGCTCCGATATTTGCAGCGGGTGAAGCACGGTGCTCGCAGGTACCCCCCCCCCCCCCCTTTGCGCTTTCAATGGCCCATCCTTGACTGACGAGTGAGCGTGCTCGGAACTACGTTGAGAGGAAGACGAGGAATTACAGAGAAAATGTGACTCGGAGACATTCCGGTGACCGTTCAGAAAAGCAATCGTGCTCTTGGGCAGCACGCGTCGCCGGGAGGGGCGGTGGCCCCCGTGGTCAAGACTAACGACGGAACGGCAGCCAACAAAAGGCAACGCTGCCCCGAGAGGATGTCTACCGCACGGTGAGACGGAGCGATGAAATCGGCTCGTGACGTGCGGGGCGCTGAGATGGACTGTTAACATTGCCGGAGCGTGAGCGATGGTGACGTGGTTGGGAAGGCCTTCATCCAGAAGGTCGATTTAAAAAAACGGGCCGTGGATTATCATTGTTATTTGAATTAGGATGCGAAATGTAAAAAATGTCATCGCATTCGCCCCGTCTGCACTGCCTTTATAACAGCAACGTATAATCGGCCGTCGTTTTGAGGAAATGGCCGGCCAGAGTTTTACTGCGTGTGTGCGTGTACACGCTACTGCCGGTGTGGTCCTTCGGCGTTGTGTCCGGTACGTAAATTAGTCGACTGTTTAGAAATTAGCCAGGCGCACGTGAAACGCAGTGCCATTTTTTTTGTCCTGCAGGGAAAGCTGGGGCGTTCTGCGTATTTTTTTTGTTTATTCTTCGTGTACGAAGTACTAAGTCGCCTGTCGTTTCGTCTGTCCGCTCGTGGCTACGTTCACAAGGTCAAAGTGACCGCGCGATCGCTTGAAATTGACGCGGTTTTTGAAGAATGCGTCATTTTCATTTCGAACAAGAATTCCCCCTTCCACCCGCGCGACAGACGTATCGGCATTCGGGAAACAAATTGTGCCGCTAAACGCCGCGAAATGAAACGAAAAAGTGCCCCTTAAAATTAGAATTTGTGAAACATGGGCTCCAGGAGACCAATACGACACGTTGTCACGGGACAAATGACGAGCGTGTCCATCGCCCTGTCATTGGATTCCATGTGGGGGGGAGGGGAGGGGGAGCAATGGTAGTGGAGTAGCGATGCATCAACTAATTGTTAATATTGCTTTTTTAACACGCGTCATCGTATCACATGCCTAAGAAGCTGTGCTTTTCTATTTGAATGTCTCGTTACTTTTATTCATATTAATTCTCTCAGTCGCAAAGTGGAGCAGTGCAAGGGAAGTAATGGGAAGAGAAGCGCGTTGGCCTGCAGTGTGGTGAATGGACTCAGTAGGGATGAGCCCAAAGAGCCTTCTGGTAGGCCGAGTCCTCAACGTGGGTGGAGGAATCGTTTGAACGGAAAAACCATGGCAATGGCGATTGGAGAGTAATAAGGAGAGTACATGGCTACTCGATTAGTCCGGTTGCCTTTGTACGGTGCGAAAGAAGTTCAACAGACATGCGCACGGTGTTCAAGCGATGCTTGCAGCCAGTCCACAAAGCAAACTAATAGATCTTTGATTTGAACCGACACCCTGAGCCGCGACGAATCGCGAAAGGAGAGGAGGAAGCGGCGGTCGGAAATCGTTGTAGATGCAGGTTTTGGGTGGCAGGGCCTGCTTGGCAGAGTCTCGGGGGCCAGCGCCTCTCCTAATCAGCCGAGTGATTGGAACATTGTTTGCAAACTTAAACAAGAACAGCAACGCCATCGTGGCCGGCCGCTACTGAAGTGCGCGCACAGCAGCATAGCTGTGATTAGCGCGAGCCATGGATTGACTGCAAATGGAGCGCGCGGTTTATGAGAAAAGTGTGCGTGTGTGCGTGCGTGTGTGTGCGGGTCACTGCACTACCTGGGTGTATTTGCATAACGAGCAATTGAGTGCAGTGTGCAGGATGTATGAAGGATGTCCGTTACTGAAAGGCACCTTGGAGTGGCTTTTCAAACAATGCGCGCTGTGTCATTGTGAATTGTCATAATGATTTAATTAAATGTCCGTGGTGACGGTGAGGCACGTGGCAATCCAAGTCGGATCTTAACACTCGCGTATGATGCACACATCGAGATGTGCGCATGGCGAATCGATTATTGATGGCCTATGGAAATTATATCCAATTGGGATGCAACGTTTACGCTAATATTCTTGGTTCTTTCGTTAAAGTCACGTAGTGTTGCGGTCGAAACGTCGTGAGAATTTTATTGTTTTATATTGTTATTATTTTATTGTTTCCCTTCTACGTGACTTTACCGAAAGAACCAAGAATATGAATCCCTGCAGTCACGAAAGCTTTAAATCAAAGTTTAGGCTAATGTTACGTAAATGTACTGGGCTAGAAGTTATACAGACGA